TTTGGAATAACCGTATCTGAATTGATCATGTCTCTCTGTACGTAATATATTTTAACGTAATTTGAGTTTTTGTGTTTTTTTTTTCGTATTATAACTCATATTTTTCTTATATCTATTTTTGGGGATATTGAAGCAGGCTTTTTGACGTATGAGAGAGATGGTCATGAGAGGTAAGAGGTATCTCCTAATGTTGTTATGGTCAGGCTGGAATCTTTGTGGTTTTGGGTTCCTTACATTTTGTGCGTGAACCTACCGATAACTTACGCTTATTCATTTCAATACCTTATCATGAGCGTGTATTATTGACTACTATTATCCACATCATTATATAAATAAGTTGCTTTGTTTATCAGTTTGTCATTCTCTAAGGTGTTGGGTCTTTTCATGTAAGTAATACATCATTGCGAGTAAGGCAACACTAAGACACCCCTGGGCATCTCCAGTACTCCCAGCTGTGAATGGTATCTGTCATGAGGAAATTGAAACTGAAGGTGGTTGAAGGTTTAGTATTCAGTGTGTTGTGTTCTTACTGTCCCTTACGAGTCGTCAGGCCCGTGGAACCAACTTTTGATACATAGAGAAACAGAATCACACGAGATACATCACCTGCTGTAGCCATTTCCACGTAGAGAATGTTTCAGTTGGCCAGATTCTCTTTTGCTGTATCTTATGCTCTGTTTGTGTATATTAAGTCTTTACAGTTTGAGTTACAAATGAAAACTGGAACCAATTCTTTCATATCTCGTCGTTTCATTCATACAAGACACACAAGACCACAACGGAGAGAAAGTATTCTAGACATAAATTTTATAATCTGTTTACAAAATCTGAACTCACGGCACAATGATATACATAAGAAGTTTGTTGATATCTATAGTTTCTCAGAAAATAGCGTGCTGATAGAAACATGTTGCGTTGAAAAAGATTTCTTAGCATACAACTGTTCTGGGAATTCTGAGTTGTCATATTTATTTACGTAAAAGAAAACATCGTCTTATTATTTGCTTCTTCATCAAGATTTATAAGTTGCAACGAGAGTGTAGAGAGAACTGAAGAATCCTTTTTACATATAACGGGAAGGCGAATTAAGAAGATTTAACAATTCAAAGTTTAAAGTTTTATTTGATTTGTTGTACTTTAAACTTAAAGAGTGTGTTTATGGCAGAAAAACTCACTTTTATCATATGAGTCGTTAAGGTCATCACTAGTATATTAAGTTCACCTGAGTTAAGAATACACATACCTCCCCCAACCCCGGTGAATTTGTGTCCATACTCCGGAGTCACATTAGAGATTCACAGATTATATACCACAGGTGATTTTTGCTCTCATAAACACACAGATAAACTCTCCGGTAAACACAAAGATCCCAAAACACATTAACCGACTCTGCAAACCTGAAATGGCCCCCTGAAGGTAATTGCAACTAATCTAAAACAGTTTACCAGTTTACCAGTTTCTTTCGTATCTCCTAATGAAGTTAATTTCCAATGCATTTAGAGACTTATATTCACATTTTCAATAATATTTAGTAATTTTTTTTATTTTAATTTTGATGTTTTTCATTTGTTAGTGTTGCTTGTGGTTAGATGTGGATTACGAGGCAGAAAGTTATTGTTGGGTTAAGAGGTAAATTATCGGATTATTGATATTATTTTCTTATACATGTCTTCTTCATTGTAATAATTAAGTTATGATGAGGTATACGTGGCACAGAAATATACATACACCCACAGACAGACAGACACACACACACACATACACACACACACACACACACACTACATCAAAATCTACAAACCCATTTCTAGGTGACAGACAGAGAAACAGAGAGACACAGAGAGAGAAAGTGTCCACAATATCTCTCACCTTATATGGAGGAGAGGTAACATATATAAAAGAACTCACAGGGGACTCTGAGCCGTTCCCTGTGACACGTGAGGAATGCGGGCGAGAAGAAAGATGAAGACAGAAAAAGGCTTCACGTTTTAGAGGGTGAAGCTACAGGTTCTACGAGTTTTAGAGAGAAGCCACTGTCTTCATTATCTCTCTGGCTGAACTATCTCTTGAAGCTACATCACGCATTTCCTTCATGTTCTCTTCATCATCTCTTTAAAGTAATCATCTCTTGACGCTTCATAATGCATTTCCTTAACATTGTCTTCATTATCTCTCTGTTTTATAACTGATTTTCTTCCTTTCTTTCATTTCATCCTTTACGTAGGAAGGATAAATCTCAAGATAAAAAATGGACAAAAATGGTATAGAAAATGAAGATAAAAATGAATAAAAATAACAAAACAAAAATATTCCATATCTTATTTTTATTTCCCAGACTTGATTTTGTTTTTGTAAGTTTATTCGAGTCTTTGAACTTTACCCTCCCCCCCCCCCAAAAAAAAATTATAGATATATAAATACTCACTGTTCATATTTATTCACTCATATTCATTCATAATTCTTCGTTTATTCAGCAAAACTTCGTAATGATCCTTAGAGTATAAAAGCATTTGCATACAGTGAGGTAAATTCTTATTAGGGTTTGTTCTTTTCCATTTAATATATTTCAACTTAAAAGTGGTATTCCATGCTGTTAAAAATAGGTGTTTCGTGATGTTAAAATAGGTGGTTCGTGGTGTTAAAATAGGTGGTTCGTGGTGTTAAAATAGGTGGTTCGTGGTGTTAAAATAGGTGGCTCGTGGTGTTAAAATAGGTGGTTCGTGGTGTTAAAATAGGTGGCTCGTGGTGTTAAAATAGGTGGTTCGTGGTGTTAAAATAGGTGGCTCGTGGTGTTAAAATAGGTGGTTCGTGCTGTGAAAACGGTAACTTCTGTTATCAAAAAGGGTAGATCCTGCTGTTAAAAAACGGTATTTCCTGCTCTTAAAACTACTGTTAAAAATGTTAGTTCTGTTGCTAAAAACGGTAGCTGAAAAATAGAGGAAAAACTCGGTGTTATCCTGAAATTTGATTACCTCTAATTTTTTTTTACTTTTACTTTTTACAGAAAGGCAAAAATTCTCTAAATGATAGACTGTAGCTGATGTAGGAGACCCGGGCTGTAGAACTTTACTACAGTGAATTTATAGTGTTACTACAGTGAATTTATAGTGTTACTACAGTGAAATTAAAGCGTTACTACAGTGAACTGAAAAACATTACTACAGTGAACTTAAAAACATTAGTACAACGAACTTAAAAACATTACTACAGTGAACTTAAAAACATTACTACAGTGAACTTAAAAATATTACTACAGTGAACTTAAAATGTGGTAAACTAAAAAAAAAACTTCTACTGTGACTATTTACGTGTACAAAACCGCCGCCTATGACCCGAAACACAAGCTGGGAACTTTACCACTGTGAATCTAACCAACAGCACGCGAGACGAAGTGGGTTAATTTTTTTTCCTCTCAGTGGTAACGGGTTCCCACCGCCCAACTTTATTTGCCGGGGAGGTAAAACGCCTTAAGGTTCCTGGAAATATGGAAGCCTGGAAAGGAGGGGGGAGAAATTGAGACATGGAGTAAAAACGCTAATTACCTCTCACGAGACGTAACGAAGAAGGGAATTAGGTAAAGGAGGGAGAAGGAAGAGAGAGGAATAGAGGGTATAGGTGCAAGTGGAGATATAAAGTGTTGAAGGAGAATTTAAGACAGTGTAGATTTTTATTTATACCAACATACAGATACATACATACATACATACATACATACATACATACGTACATACATACCACATACATACACATCCGTACTACACACACACACACACACGACCAATTAACAGTAAACGCCAACATAACATTAATCATGTAACAGGTAATTAAGATGTTAAGACACAGGTGATGTTGCTGTAACCAGTATGACTCCACTTGTTATATTAACGCTGCGTGAGAAGTTAGTGAGAAAGTGTATCGCTCAAAAACACTCGTTAAGTTAGCGATATCGTAACTTTAAGCTATTGTTTATGGTACATTATATTATTTATTTATTATTTTGGTGTTATTATGAGATGAGTAAGAGAGAGAGAGAGAGAGAGAGAACAGCATAAATATCTTAACTACAGCTTTGTCTATAAAACAGGTTGTCAACATAAACAAACTCACAGAAAGAATCCACTTAATAAGAACAATTTTTACTGATTTTTGTCTTTTAAAAACTCGGGTGACCTACTTTGTCTGTAGCGGTGTGACGCAACACTTCCTCTCACAAGTTAGCTGAGACGAGGTTGTTTATTGCTTAAGTAAATCACTATATTGATGTAACACACACACACACACACACACACACACACACACACACAATATAGTAAATACGAGTTAATTTTCAGTGGTAACCAAGGGTCGCCACCAGTATATGACGCCCGTGTGTGAAAAGGAACAGAGATGCTGTATACCTCCATCTTGGAACGACTCCCGCCCATGTGCAGCTGTCAAATAAGTTAAAAAAATAAAATAAACCCCAAAATCACATCAGTGTCCTGCACGTATGGCAGCGAGGCATTAAGACGTGACCTACTGACGGTGGAGGAGGTGACCTTACTTCCCATGACACAGCAGTGAGGTGTACTGTGCGTCACTCTTTAGCTATTCCCCATAAAAAAAAAATCCAGTAGTGATACCAATATATAGTAACTAGCACCCAGAAGATACATCACCGGCTGGCAACAGAATATCGCTGTTGTAGCAATAATTTATAACCTAGCACGAAGAATACACAGGTATATATGATATTCATACCTTCCATTTAGATAAAAGCAAACCTGCATTTCATCGATCGAGATTCCCGGAACAAACTTACATTCATATTTACCAAACATTGATTTTTGCCAGTGATCCTTTCAAAAGCATTGTATATGTAAGGCAATATTGATGTAAGTATTGCTATTATGATAATTTACCTGCATCTATCGTACACACCTCCCAAGGGGCGTAACTACCAGACGTAACGATAAATAAACGATTGTAGTTGTTTAGAGCCGTGAGCTCCTCGCACTGACCTTCTTCAGTAGTGAGGACGCCCGAGGCCCCCCACAGCAGCAGCACCACCAGGTGCTGGATCATGGTGTTGCTGCCTCGTTGACAAGTATTTTCTGTTCACACTTAATGTACTCGCTGTTTAACACACTTCATAAGTGACCATCTATTGCGGTGAAAGAATTTTCTAAACTTTATATATTGGGTATATTATATATGTATATACTGTATAGTTATGAGTTAGGTAAAGAATATTAGTTGGTCAGAATTCAAAGTAAAATTATTCTACTGTGGAAGAAGTGCGTCACACTCTGAGACTTTCTGAGAGTCGTGGGGCCATAACTTCTCATGTTTGCTGTTCGAAGTTTACGTCAACTCCAAAAACCACTTAACGCGGTGTAAAACACGTCTGAATAACAGCATGACTTAGGTGGGTTCAGTAGGGGGGCAGTGCAGCACCGTGCCACGTCACCGCCACCACCAGCAGTAGCAGTGTCAGGGCACGATCACTTCGCCACCACTAGCTGGCTGGTTCACGTCCCCTTCAGCGACACCTGCCGGAGACACACTGAGCGTGGACGGGCTGGTGGTGGTGTTGGCTGGCAGGTCCGTCCGCTCACCCGCACATGCTCCACCTACCACCATGCTCACGCGCCGCCGCTGGCCCCGCCCTGTGCACCTCACGTGGGTTTTGCTCAGGTGGTTGTGGCCAGCTCAACAGTGCACAGGACTTAGTCTAATAACACACAACTCAATTTAGCATGACATTAACCTCTTACCTCCAAAAAACGAGCACCAGGCCCTTGGCACAACGTCTTCTCTAGCTCACTATAAACACAACTCATTTAGTTCTCAAATGCTCACCTTAAACGCTCATAAATTTGGATTTTTTTTTTCATCTGTTGCTCACAGCTCATTCAAAGGAGGGTCGGGCGGCCACACTACCACGGCACTTACTCTGATGTATGAGTTAGCTGTTGTGACCTCCACCTCGACCCCCACCCCGTTTATTGCTGACCTACTCCTGCCCACACTAACGTAAGAGGAGGGGGGCACTGACCATTAACTAGTCTGTATTACCTCGCCAGCAGCGTTACGTACACCACCACCACAGAATAAACACACAGTGGCATTTCTAACTCACCGTAAATTTTCACATCCTCATCAGATGTTCCCGAGAGACTTAGACCAGTACTGCTACACCATCAGCCTCAGGGCGCCAGTACCCACCCTCTCGCACTCTAACACGAGAATTACTACACCGTAAATCCCGTGACTAAAGCCTTCACAAACCCCGCTGGAATTAACCCAACAGAGATATATTGAATTCCCGCTAAATTTGTGCCGATTTTTGCAAATGTTTATTTTGAAACTGCGCGTTTAAGTATTAAGTTATGACGACCATTTAAAAAAATCATAACAACTAGACACACGGACAATAAATATCAACAGACAGCGACATAATAATTACCTTGACACTATTTAAGGACTGATAAACAACAGAATAAATTAAGTCGAAATGTAAGAAAATATTGATAATACTTAGAGAGCAAATATACAGTGCATTCTAAGTTTACATAAAGTGTGTGTGTGTGTGTGTGTGTGTGTGTGTGTGTGTGTGTGTGTGCAGCCACACACAGGGTGGTGAGATGCGTCTAGAATGGCAGCATTATGTTAGTGTTAAGGTGCAAGCACTGCTTGCTCCCTTTCGCTTTCAGCTGGCTAGCCCTCATGGCGAACAGGGAAGCAACTTGTATAAGTCTTCCCCTGCCAGTACACAGCCTCCTCACCATCATAACTCCTGCTGTGCCTCCTCGTGGCAACAAACGGTAAGTGGGTACCTAGTGGCCCAGGCTAGATCAGCAGGGGATCTCGGAGTATATGTGGGCCCCAGAGGGACGGCGCATAGCCCCACTGGCATGTGGAGCCCATCATCAGGCAGACATGCTTGCAGAGCTCCAATAAGACCCCAATGACTAAACTGGCGGACGAAGGCAATGCCTGATGGACAGGCTACGAAGGCGAAACCCATCAAACTGGGCTATCGGCAGTCCATTGCGACTCTCCCTCTCCCCAGTCGTTGCAACACTTGCACCACTGGATCAGGAAAAGGGAGAGCCAAGATGTGTGGTTGCAGCCTGCGCTCCTGCCTCACCACATACATCAACTCACACACAGCCATCAACCAGCTCATCATACCTCTCATCATCATCAAACCCCTATACCCACAAAAGTCCTATGGCGACAGACGAGTGGCGACGGGGACAGGCAGAGACAACTGCTGGGAGACTCTAGTCATAACTATGCGCATGGGCGGCACAGATAAGATGGTCGTTTATGCACTAGGATCTAGGCAGCAGTGCAATCTGGTCCTGTCTGTGCGACTGAGCAGCTCTTTCGGGAAGCCAATCTGCTCACCCCACATGGGGAGGGGGCTAGAAAAGGTGCCTGCGTGAAAACCCAACCCGACTGGTCAACCGCACCCAGTAAGGTCATCCTTATGCGGTCGAAAAGACAACCCAA